TAACCACCAGCCCGTGCTGAGCAATTTGCTTTGCGACGAGGGTGAAGCCCGAACGCTCCATCATCGCGTTGTAGCTCGCGCTGCTCCAAAACGTGGCGTGGAATAGGCCGCGGACCCAGCGATGCTTATGGTCCATGGACTGCAGTGGCAGTTCGGTGAAGACGTAGCCTCTCGGCCTCAGAACCGTGCGCAGCACCTGCACGTACGTGCAAGGATCGGTAACGTGCTCCAGAACATGCGAGCTCGAGACCAGGTCGACGCTCGCGGGTTGCAAGCCGACTCCTGTGAACAAGGAACGCACCACGCGCGCTTGCAGCCAGCCCTTGGACATCGACTGCACTTGGCCGAGCAGCTTTTGTGCCGCAGGCGCCATCTTTGGATCCGCCTCGAAGCAGCTCAAGCTCACAGACGTGACGGCGCGCGCCGTCTCGTTCAGCAAGTGCGACTTGGCGAGCACCGCGAGGAAATGTCCACCAGCGCAGCCTGCCTCAACAATGTGCAGTGGGCCGCGCCATGAGGAGAGCTGCATTGCCGACGCAATCATGGCGGCCTGCTCATTCGGCCGGAAGTGCGTGAGCGAAAGTGTGTTTTGGCCATCGTACACGCGGTACATCGTCTCGAGCTCTGAGGTGTTGAAGAGCGGCAAGTAGATGAACACACCGCTGACCGTGCATTCGTACAGCTTCCGCTGGCACACGATGTCGCCGATGGGCGTTCCGTTTGTGAAGGTGTGTCCGGTGATCAGACGCGCCCGGCTCTGCGCATGGAAGGGTGCGCACTCGAGGTGGCCGTGCAGAGCCAGCCTCGTGGCATCGCCGAGGCAAGAGGGGCAGCGTGCCATGTGCGCCACGGAGTATTCAGCATAACGGAAAGTTCAAAGCCAATATGCGGTGCGAGGGAGCTTTGTTGTACGTACTTTTAGCTTTACTGGGAGTTGTTGTAAAATTCAAAATATGCTCACCCGGAGCGACGGCGAGGTCGACCGCTCCAGCCTTTTGGAGGACGCGCTCTGGGGTGAGTCCACCTTATCTCTCTCTCTCGGGTATGTTCTTAAGAGATACATACACACAGAAAACGGCGCAACCTACAACTAGAAAACTAACCCCGAGAAACCCGTCGGAGTCACTCCTCATCGCAAACAAACACCGTCAGCAGTTCACATCACCTCTTGCTTCGAGTCAGGTTTTGTATTCTGTGTTTGGTGGTAGGTTATATAAAACCCTCTGCAGCTCTATAAGCTGAATGCCCACCACATGCTAGGGGGGGG